CAAAAGGAGCTAATAACACCTGGGGGCGGGAGGGAAGCGTAACCATATAGCCCAGAAAACCTATGTGCTGCTAATGTTTAACCCTACAGGTTAAACTCTATATGCTGATAAATTAGAGAGTTTAAAATTCCTTAAGGTCCCAAAGCTGTGCTTCCCAATATATGTGGCTGAATCTCAGTCTTGAGGCTGGTATGGACCCAGCTCACATGATACGTGTCCAGGACCCAGAAATTTGGTACTCCCCGCCTCAGGACCCAGAAATTAGGCATTTCCCTGCCTAAAGACTGTGAGGGTGTTATTGGCATAAGCGCTGTCCCCGCTGCATTAGGCCCTCCCTGAACACTACTCTTTCCTTTGCCAAGCCTCCATCTGGAAGCAGGGCTGGCCATGGTGGCCCTCCTCTAGGTGAGAGTCATGAAGTAAAACACGGAGAACACGTGAAGGGAAACATGGCACCAGCCCCTGCAGCCTCAACAAGCCGCCATCTCCACCTTCCCAGGTGAAGGGCCAGGCCGTGGGCTCTTCAGAGCGGCAGCGAGGAGGCCCCAGCTTTGCTTTTCCCCCTCTTGAAGCGAGGCAAGAGGAGCAGCGTGGAGGCCCCGGCTTTGCTTTTCCTCCAGCTTTGCTGTTCCCCCTCTTGAAGCGAGGCAAGAGGAGCAGCATGGAGGCCCCAGCTTTGCTTTTCCTCCTTCAAGCAAGGCAAGAGAGGCAGCAAGGAGACCTGGCTCTGCTTTTCCCCCTCTTGAAGCAAGGCCACTGATGAGGGGAGAGCACAAGATTTGTGGCATTGCAAAGAGAGGGGCGAGGAGAACATGACTCTGCAACCTCACTGTTAGGGTACTGACCTGCAGACTGGGATTCAGGTCCCTCTGAGGGTGCCTATGTCCTTTTCTTGGTCTAGTGATCCACCCCATTGGGTTGGAAATAATGACAAACCACAATAACAATAGCCAGCTAAACAAAGCAAGTATAAACAGAAACAACAACTGAGGCTGGGAAGAGAAATGGCCTTTGGGGATATTATTTAGAAGAGACTTTAGACTTTGATTTCCCAGGCAGAAAAGATGGCAAATCAGCCAGTGACTCCTCAGTTCTTGAGAAAGAGGCAAACCACATTTTCCTAAAGCTTCCTATAGCTGAAACCGTGGAACTAACTCTACTATAGGAAAACAGAGTGAGGCAGGAAAACGGGAAGGCCAACACAAAAAGCCGCGCTGAAAACCCCATGACTGCATACCAAACAGCTGAACATTTTTGAGTTGCTGCCTCAGAAGTCTGAGAATCCCCCTTGGCATCACATGCCTTTGCTCAGTCCCATGGGAAAGAAAAGGCGCTCGTCCCTTCTCGGAGAGGAAAAGAAAAGAGCGGGAAAGAGCGCACTGGGTGCGAACGCCGCTGTGCACACAGTGGTAGCGTGCCCTATATGTTGACACAAGCACTGTACATACAGTAAAAAGGAAATGTGCCCCGGTTATACAGCACCACGCAGGGAGCCTGGCAGAGAGCAAACAAGCAGCACTGCTGTTCTTCAGGCCACAAAGGGAACGAGCAGCAAGGAGGAGGTTTCTCTCCAGGTTCATGTGACACTGTGTCACGCTTCCACGAGCTTTCACGCTTCCACGAGTCCTGGTCAGAAAGGAAAGACACACAAGTGAAAACAGACATGGAGAGGCATTTGTTGGAAGCACCAGAGGACTGTTGTGCTTCCAGGTTGTTTATCTCAGGCCCCTGGTCATTGCCCTGCTTCTTCCTCCAACCCCTCCTCTGTAGTTTGATGACAGCAATGACCACCTATAGCTACAGCTGCACCATGGCACAGGGCTTGGAAGGGAGCCTCATGCTGATGGGCAGCAGGAACTCCTTGGAAACAGAATTTTGACATTATATTTTTCTCCAGCACACATAGCAGGAAAAAGAAAATTTCCCCAATGGTTTGGAAAATTGTGGAGGAAACATAGGTCCATTCAATTTTTTCTTCCCTGCTCCACTCCTCTACTAACCTGAGGAAGCTACCATGATAAAGCATTTTCCAAAGCAACGATCAAGGATTTAGACATGAACTGAATGTACAAATGGACAAGCACACATACACAAACATTTCATATATATTTCCATATGTACTTATATATAAAGACTAGTTATTTTCAAAAAAGCATAATAACAAGATCAGAAAATCCTTGAGAACGCTATTCCCATGGATAGGACTACGTAGATTTTCATGCCTAGTCTTCAGTAAAGCTCTCTGGTGCTCCAGCTCAAAACACATATCCCAGAAAACAGACACTTGTGGTGCTAGGAACACATCAGATGACAACAACCACCTAATGGATAGTGGCGATGAAGATGAGGGATAAGCAAACACAAAGTAGGCAAGTCTCTTTATTAAAAGCATCCCCATTGGGCTGCTGCTTCTGCTACTTACAGTGGCCAATAAATTCCCTCGGTCTTAGCACACTCCAAGTGCCAGGATACATTATTCAGCATATGAGTAATTCACCACATTCTTCTGAATAACAGTCAGTCCTTGAGCTAGACTCTGTTCTATGAAGGTCAACAGCAAAACTCCATTATTGCAGTTACACGGCACGTTGGAGCCTCGCGGCACCTTACAGAACAGATTAAACCAAGGATCCTTGCAAGGATCCCTGTTAATGAAGGCCCCAAGGTCCCCATGTGGGCATGGGGGCAATTACGGAGGAGCTGGCCTCAAGCTCATATAAAAACCACAGGAAGAAACTTGGCGCCCAGGAAGGAGGACAAAAATGTGTTCACGCGGTCCCTGGAAAAGCCAGTTCATCAACTGGAGTTTCCCTCTTCATGCGGAATGATAATTTGAGCACTAAGTGAGAATTTGAGCGCAGAATTTGACAGTTGCCTCAATATCCTGGGGAATTTTGCACTAAGTGCTTTAGATGAACTGTGTGCCAGCTATGGTGACACTACTTTTTCTTGCAGATTTTAAGATAAGCTGTGATGTTGGGCTCTTGTATTAATACCACTTATTGCAGTTGCCAGTAAAGAAAGCTTCTCTACCCTCAGTTTTATAATGTACACAGGTCTACTGTGTATGTTTCTGTTTATATTAGGTTACATGTTGCTGAAATAGATGGGTCTAATTATGGCCTTTCATTCAGGATTCAAATGAAGGTGCCATTAAGGGGGTTTACGCAACCAAGTAGCTGAGCAACAGAAAGATCTAAAACAAGTATGAGGCAATGCAGGAGGCCACACTGTGCAATCAAGGGCTTTTCGTGGTCTAAAAGCATGAGAAATCCAGAAACTAGAACTGGCTTCATCTATGAACTTGACACAAAACACAGGGAGAGAGAAGATTCACTCTACAAGACCAGAAGCAGCTACTAAACCCACCAACAGTCCCAGACCCAACGTGAATCCTTCAGGCTGAGGAAAGGGGCTTTTCCACTGCGTGCCATGGCACATCACTGCTCGCTGCTCTATCCCACATGCTGGAAAACAAGCTCTGGCGAGCTCTCTTACAGCAGCAGCGTGGAAACAGTTACCGATTTCATCGCCAATTTTCCCTGCTAACAGAAACACTCCAAGGGAATGCTGCACTTTTTCTAATTGCTGGATCTAAAAGGGGGCTAATGCTATGGTAATGCTTGTAGGAATGACTGCTTCATATTCTCCAAAACACCTCCCTCATATTTGCGGTTGTACACAGTTATGTCAGAGGGAGTCAAAGTTTCTTGGTAATTAACTAGGACTCTTGTTGCATTTATTAATGCTATCTTAGGTATTTTCTAAAAGGAGTGAGCAGGTGATATGTAGAACCAGTTTTATGTGTATAGATGGGATAACCAACAAAGAAAAATCAGCTGAGGGGAAACTGATTATGGCAAAGGAACTGAAAAATTTAAGAACTGATTGAGGAGTCAGAATTTAGATTTTTTTAGAAGAAATTTTGAATGAATTGGCAGTTATTTTTCAAAACTTAGCAAGTTGAGAAAGCAAATGAAATTCAAAATGAAATGTTTATTGGTTGTATTTTGATTAAAAGGAAAAAAAAAAAAAAAAAAAAAAAAGCCCCGTGTGACTGTTCTCTTTAAGCTTGAAGGAAAGAGCAAGGACACAAATGTAAGCCCAGATCTGAGAGGACACATTAGCTTGAATTTTTAAATTGAACCAAACTTCTCTCTTTGGAGAGACGAATGCTCAAAGGGAGACGACGCGGGGGAGAGCTCTGTGCTCTGCTTTGACAGGAGGCTTTTGGTTTTACAGGACACGGCACAGAAATGTTTTGGGGCTGGAGGCAATTCTGCTGGCCACCGTGCAGTTGGGTGCAACAGCTTCTATCCGCGTGGCAGGCGGGGGTCTCTGTGCTCCTCCCCGTGCACCACCCGAGCACCTTTCACTCACTACCGCACTCCTGGAGATGCTCTATTGCAATTGCTTCCACACTTACCACATACTTCTCTTAATGTTTTGATGGCAGAAAAGCACCACAAAGTAGTGCTCATCACTCCGCATTATTTTCATCAGGGCAGGAAGCAAAAGTGCTAGGTGCTTTCCAAAGAGACAACCCCTGCCATGGAGAGCACACGGTCTTAGCTTAATATTGCAGAGACTTCCAGCTCATAATGTGAAACCAGAGACCCTTCCCTCTCAGGAGCCATAGAGTGCACACACACACATTAGGCACTTTGTTTTATTTTGCAAAAAAAAAAAAAAAAAGTCTTTTATATATAAACCATTTCATTCTCTCTCAAAACATTCTACAACTATACAGCTGTTTGCTCCATCATTTGCATAGGAAATACCACAATACAAAAATAGGGTCGGGGGGAGGCAAAGAAGCAAAACAGCAACCAATTTATGCATGTGTTTCCACGTATAAACATTTTAAGCCTTACAAAATTATTTACATCATTTGTCAACTATTTACATTAAGAGCAACATTTCTAACTATAACAAACAAAACTATAATTTATCAAGTATATGTAAAATTGTCTTAAAAAAAGAGTCTATTGTATACCACAAATAAATAAAGACAAACAACAGTTTTAACAAAGCTAGGTTTTCCTGCAAGACCCTTTTTTGGTATTTTGATTCTTAACCTACCCTTTGGTTGACAGCTCAGTATTACTGCTTATGAACTCCAGACACTCTCTAGGCTTGTTTGTCGCACGGCCAAATCCTACACAAAACAACCTCATCTTTGGCCCTTCATTTACTATTTCCAAGTGGAACACTGTGGATCGAAGTTGTCGCTGGCACCAAAGGACTTCGTCGACTTCAGCGGAGTTTCAGCTACAGATGGAGCAGTCACTTTTGCCCTGCATGAGTGTGTGTCAGTCTGAACAGTGGATTATCTAAACTGCACTGTAATTTTAAATAAAATTACTGTATCTTTTACCTTCTAGGAAATTACATGCAATATCCATGTGAAACTGGATCATAATGGTGCCGAACCAGCTTAACATGTCCATGTATGAAAATTGCATCCTAAATCCTTCTTTTTAAACTGATACTAAGTTTAGCTTATAGTAAGAGGTTTAACATTCTGAAAACTGTAACTATCCCCATTATTTAGGCTTCCAACATTTACTTTATAGCTCATTCTAAGTGTTTTGCCCTTTTAAGCAATTTGAAAACAAAATCCTGCTTTGAATACTCAGTGCACACCCTTTGTGTTAACAGGTACAAAATATCTGTATGCTTAGCTCATTTCTCTCCAGAAAAAATAAAGCTAAGTTGGTACTGTTTAGAGAGGTATTTAAATAAATTTGTTTGCAAATGTGCCGTGGTATCAAATGTAAAGCAACTCCTTTTTTCAGATGATTTTTAGAAAACTTTTGTATTAAACCCCAAAAAGCTGATTTGCATATTTACAAAATCTTTGTCATAGCAAACATGCAACATCCAGAACAAAAAAGTTTTGTTCTATGGCTGTTTATGAATTTTTCTGTGTGTTTTATCTCCACAGAATGACTTAACGTTTAAAAAGAACCCACAAGTACTAAATATGTCCAGTAAAAACCCGACGGGTTAGAAATTCATGGCTTTTCCACTGTTCATTCACCTGCAGCCTCTCATTAACTCATTTACTAAACATTGTCACGATAATGACAGTGCTTTGGTCAAAACACTGCAACAGAAAAAAATGCGTAATGCTGCAATGTGTCAAGACATAATACTTGTGAAGAGATGAATCCTGCTGACTAAAGCCATATACATCATGAGAGCAAACAAACAAGCGAAACCTGGCGCTGCGATTCAGTGTCTTCCCTTTTTCTGCATAAATATACAAAATATACATTTCCAGTTTCTTTCGAGATTTCGTTTCAATGGATAACCCATCGTCAGGAACTAAGCTAGCGTTAGCCGCGAGTCGCGAGTCCATAGGAAATTGCATAGATGGGGAGCGGCGGCGAGCGCGGCCTCAGTTCTGGTGCCTCTTCATGTGGAGCGCGAGGTGGTCGGAGCGGGAGAAGCTGCGGTTGCACACGGCGCACTGGAAGGGCTTCGCGCCCGTGTGCTTGCGGTAGTGGCGCGTGAGCTCGTCGGAGCGGGCGAACCTCCAGTCGCAGCCTTCCCACGTGCACTTGTACGGCTTCTCCCCTGCAACACACACAATGCACGGGAATAAGGATCCGGCCGCCACTCCTCGGCGGGAAACCCCTGGGACGGGGGACACGCGCGCAGGGACAGCCATCCAACAGCAAAGGACACCACCAGACTGACACACATTCCGCTACACTCATCTCAACACAGAAGGCAGCGCAGAAACAAGCCAGACTAGCCCTTCACTTACACTTTTAAGAATGGGCAAATCATGATACACGGAAGTTTTTTAAGAGTAAGTCTGCAATTACAAAGACTCCTTATAGCGCATGGATCTGTTTAAGAGCTTCTGCTGTGTAAACAGTGTTGCACACTGTGTGACAAACACAACTGGGATAATATTTTCAAAAATCTCAGGGGTAATAAAATCTCGTGGTATTCTGGTGTGGGCTAGCTATATATAGAAGAAAGTGTTTTAAAGCCCAAAGTCTCGTTTTTCAGAGCTGAATATCGGGAATTAGGCGCTTAACTGGCCATATTTTTAGAGGTGTCGAGTGTTTGCTCTTCACCTTGGTCTATACTGACATAAGGGAAGGGAGGCACTTCTGTAAACCTGCTACCTTAAGGAAGCTCTGAATTCAGCTTTAAAGTATCCAGCTAGACTTGAATGTATTGGCACAACCACCCAAAATATTTGCATTCATCCATTTTAGAAGGGTAAATGTGTTATTTTAGGTATGTCTACAATTTATAGATTTGTTTGTTGAAATGGAAGCCACAAAGTCAAGATGTCTTCTGTGTGAAAACAGAACTCCACATGCGCCCATACCCCTGCTCAGGAGCAGGTGTCACCCTAAAAACAAACTTCATGTACATGAATAGGGATAAATGACCCATTTACCGGCCTTGGTTGACAAAACCACCTTTAAATTGGTATATTCCTTTATTCTCTATATCTTGTGTATTAATTTGACCCATTTAGTTAAAAAGAGGAGGCAAATGGACATTAGTGAAGCGCTCAGCGGTGTCTTTATCTGCAGCAGAACCGGGTCAAGGCCAAGCTCACTGCAAGGCCTCTCCAATGCGCATTGCATGTTCTCCCCCTCCACTTGGTCACAGGCCTTTGCCCTCACACTCTCAAGCCTACAGCATCCCACGGTAGCTACTTTTCCAGTTTTTACCATCAGATTAGCAAATGAAAGAAAAAAAAAAGGAAGAAAGGAAACCAGCAGCCTGCAATGAGATTGTTTGTCCTACACTGGCTGCACACAGAGCACCATCTGAGAACGTTCAGTAAAGCACTTCAGAAACTCTAATTATTATAAAACTGTTTTTGTCTGTCTCTACTGCTTTCTCTGATGAACTAACTAGTAACTTTCCACCCACAACTAAAAGCAAAACCGGCCCTCTGCGCCCAATGGGGAAGTGACTTCCCATTGGCAGCACATCCACAACTGGACTGAGATTTCCAGAAGAAAAAACAAACAGGCGGGTAAACAATCACCCCTCTGCATAACTGGCAACTGGGATTTATTGAAATCACAGTGGGGAAACTTCATCCTTAAATAAGAGCAAACTTAGGATCTAGGATCACCTGTCGCAGAGTCTAAAATTACTTGATTTATGATAAACCAGACCAGAATTTGTTACAAATTTCATAGCTGAATTTAGTCTGTCTGATGATGACTGAAGATAGATCTATCATATATGACTTTTTATTCCACACAAAGCATACTGTAGGTTAAAGACTTTGTAATGTGTAAAGCTTATTTAATATGAGAGGTCAGTTGAGATATCATATTTGGTCTTCATGGCAGAGTGACATGCAAGATATTTATTCAGACGAGGATCTTTTGTCATCCTGAATGTACTGAAATTTGGTCTAACTACAATGAAGTCTGCAAAAAACTGCACTGCTAACCCATGCACACAGCACTACAGAAATCTGCTGAAAATGCACCATGCTAAAACACATGCACACATTGCACAAAAGGGTTACTCCTGCACTCAAAACATCTAAGGCAAAGCCAGGGTATGTCTTTTTCTTTCATCTTTCCCCTCCTTTCCCATATTGGATTTAAAATCATTTAATCAAGTGCTTTTATCTTTAGAATTAATTTTTAAACCTAAATACAGAGTAGTCTCAGCAACATCTATCTACAAAAACTTCCTGCCTGTCTTGGAGACCTGTCACTTAAACTGCCATATAACACATATAAAACATATAACCATTTTCTGATCCGCCCCCCCATCCTGACTGCCCAAAGAGCAAATATGTCGGGAGGCTCTGTGTACTCCAAATACTTGTTTAACATTTTTGCAGAATTAGATAGGGAATGAGAGGAATGGTAAAGAGGGCAGACCAATAACTAACCTAGAGAAAGACTAAGAATGTGTAGAGGGAAACAGAGCCCATGAGATTTAAATCACAGTTTCTTAAACTTGGTGTCTGGTGATATGGAGTCTTTGTGATTTCACCAGGATTTGCACTTCCTTACAGTGGGAAAAAAAAAATCAAAAATTGTCCTGCATAGATAATATCTGACCCTGTTCACATGGTAAGCAAAGCTGATGTCCTCCTATTCTAACTGTATGCTGTGAGCAGCAGCCCTGCAGTGATAAAGTATGGCAAAATCCAAGCCCTGCTGCGTTCAACGGCAAGACCTCTACCAAACACCAGGGCACCCGGGGTTCCGGGGTCCTGTCTGGAACGTGCAGTAGCCTCTCCTGCTGTCGATGCCCTCACTGCCACAGTTAGGGACATGGAGAGGCGCTGCCGGGCTCTGCACCGTGACGCTGGATGCGGCTCCTGGCTCCACGCAACTGGAGTGACCCCAAACTGAACACCACCGCGCCCAGGGGATGCGCGAGGGGAAGGGGTCAGGGCCTCGCACAGAGTGTTTTAGCAGTGTTGCTTTTATAGGCGAGAAATTAAAGCCAAAATGCTGCTTTTAACCCCTGCTTTGGCTAACGGTGAGAGCTGGAAAATATATTTTTAGCGCCAATGTAGAGGCCCAGATTATTTTGAATAAATCCTAGGGGTAACATACTGAATATCTATGTTTGTCATGCTAGTTTCCGTTGGAAAGTTCTATTTAAGAACTGAATCAATTTCAAATGTTTTCCTTTTGGGCAAGGAAGCAAGGGGGGCGAGAAAAAGAAGGTGGAGATTATTTTCATTCCCTTCAAGAAAGCAGAAGAACAACTCGCCAGTAGTATTTTTGCTCTCGCAAGCCATACACATGCTTTTTGTCACTTAGCAGAAATAAGAATTTGGTCTAAGTTCCTGTGGCAAGGGGAAAAAAAGCCTCACGTTACACTCACTTTTTTTAAAGTGATTCTACCTCTTTGCTACACTGACTTTAAGGCACTCAGAAATCCCGGGTGGAGGATTTATTTAAAAAAGACGTACACACAACAAGGGACACTGAATCCTTTATCCACTATTTTCACTGGCTACGCAGTAATGTACGATTTATTTACTTTAATGATTGTGTGACATACAGTAGCTGTAAAGTTTCCGAAATATTTGGGTTTCCTCCAGCAATTTAGAACTTCTATAGGGTGTTAAACCAAGAACGCCACCAGTCATCCCATGCGAGTGTAGGGTAGCTCCGTTGCTGGAACGTGATCACTGTATCAAACAGATATTTCACTGTAAAGGCAAAAAAACAGCTAACTCCTCCACTTGAGGGGAGCTTCCACGGGATTTGTGAGAATGTCAACACTGTTCAAGTAAAACACCGTGGAGGAAGCTGGTACCGATTCCTAGCCAAATAGCACACTCCGATCCTTTCTTCCCAAGCCAGAAATATTATACACAGCACTTCTGGGAAACAGAACTGCTTTCCTTTAAATTAGACTTCAACGGGATAGCCATTTCATAAGTTTAATTGGATTTTTGCATAACGGCCTTCCAATATCACTGCTTTAAATATTTTGCTAGGCTTATAGATCACAAAATGTATTTTAAGTTCTTGAACTGCTAATATATATCCCTTCTCCATCTTTTTCTGTAATCATTCGTAGTGGATGAGAAACAGGTTTGTACTTGAGCACAGAAGTCCCAAGCACTAATGTTTAGTTTGGAATTTCTTTGACAGAAAGCATCTAGCAAGAGATAAGGGAATTTAACCTGAAACAAGACTATTTTTCTTGTAGCTTGTTTATCTGTTAAAGGAATAATAATGATGGAAGATTGCCAGGATATCAAAAAGATGTCGGATGTCTGTAAGAGAAGTCCCCTGTAACACGCTAAGCTAATTAGCCACTTTGGTAGATAAACTTTGGATCCCGAGGCAGATCCCAAGCATTGGGATGCGTGCTGCTACCACAGAAGGATTATGTGGACTGGAAAGCCACAGAGTGCTGGCTCTTCTCATTTTAATATATATTTATGGGATTGAATCATTTTAAAATACCCAGATTTGTCTTCTAATATTAATTCTCTCCTCTGGCAGTCATTGCCCTAGTCATCTGGATATGGTACTGAGCCACCAATGTGGTGGCTGATGGTCATTTGGAAGACACCTTCCATAACTGTAATCCTTGTTCAAAAAAAGTTTCTATTTAAAGTGATGTTCAGAGAAAAGCAGTCATTAAAAAAACTCTAAATCAGTGATGAATTTCCCACTTAATAGKAAAACAAGCTGTCTAACTTCACCAAAGAGTGGTGGGACTTTATTTCTGCAGTTCACTACTGGAGGGGACGTCTTTAAGTATAAAGCTGCAAACAGCGAGGAACAGGTTTTCAAACTTGAAGTATTCAACTGTGCTCATGCAGAGATCCAAACATGGGTATAAGCAAGTTAGGTTACTGTCAACATGTGCAAGTTCTTTTGATTTCTATCAGAGTTTTGAGTTTGGACCTTCCTTGAAGAAGAAGCACCATTTCCAGACTTSAAAAAGGAAATATCTGATTGCAGCTCTTAAGAGCAGAAAGGAAGYCTCCTCTCATTCCCTCCAACACTTTACACAGAATCACAGGATGGATGAGGTTGGAAGGGGGCTCTAGAGATCATCTATTCCAACCCCCCTGCTCATATTACTTGTGTTCA